CGGCTTCAGCACAGTCTCTTATGTCTGCATACTTCCCAGCATGAGTTCCAAGGGTAGAAGACGGTACCGTCTTAATAAATGCCTGATGATGAATAATTAATAATATTAAAAATTACCATCATCCCCTTATCCTCGCTCCCAAGAGCAGTGGCAGATGGTGAATCTTGGCTGTGCCTGTGGCTGCCCATAGATCTTAAAAGGCGCCAGTGTTCACAGAGCAGCATCTCACAGGAGTCTCGTGTGTTTTATGGTTGTTATTCCAAAGGTTCTTTTTGGCACAGGCTTCACTGACAGATGAGCTTGTATCCCTTCTCAGAGGAATTCAGTTTTCAAACAACAACAACAACAAAAATCCAAGCGAACCAGACAAACTCACAGGCCTGTCCTTGAACGCAGGAGGAGGAGCGGCAGGGCGAGGTTCCCTCTTGCTTTCACACCTTGCGAATGTGAGCTCCAATCCGAATGTCACGACTATAACCTCAGGCTGGAGAGGTCACTCGGTGGTTAAGAGCCCTGGGGGCTCCGCCAGAGGACCCGGGTTCAATTCCCAATACCTACATGGCACTCACAGCCGTCTGCAACTCCAGTTCCAGGGGATCCGACACCCTCTTCTGGCCTCTGCAGGCACTGTACATATTTGGTGCATAGACACATATGCAGACAAAATACCCATATACGTAAAATAATAAACAAAAATTTAATGAATTTTTAATTAAAATGCCACATTCCAAGCACAGTGATGTGTAGGCCGTTAAGCAGCACAAACATTCTCTATAAATACATTTCTTTTTCTTCATCATTCACTTTGGCGGATGTTGAACATTTTACCTGCTCCCATAAACTTTATTTTCAACTTGCTAAAATTCAGTCACTAGCCAAGAGAGACACTATGTACAGATTTGAGATGGCAGCTTCGGCAACCCAACACGTGCCAAGGTTTGCATACAGTACCTGTGTTTTTCTTCTAGCTGTCTCTACAAAATATGTGTCTTCAGGGAAGGCTGTTGCCACTCACAGTGGAACCAAAGAAAATGCTAACATTGGGTGGCAACCAGTCTGAAAAGCTTGCTCATAAAGACAGACGATGATAATCAAACCCATTCATAATGGCAGGAAGCAATGAGCAGTGCTCACGGGCAGACTATGTTGAATGCCTGCTGTCACCTTTCCCACCCAAGTCCCAGGTTTCCAGTGTGGGCATGAAGAGAGCAGGACAAATGTCCCTTTAAAAGGGAGTACCTGCAGACAGTGGATCTGCTTTGCAGGCTCAGTTCATCATCAAACCGGAAGTTCTAGCAAGGCCGATGCTAGACGCTGTGAGAACCGCGGTGGGTAATGCTCCTGGTTTGGCTCAGCGGTTTCAAAACCGTCGCTTGACTCATTTCATAAAACAGCATCTGAAGGAAAGGCGTGCCCTGGCATGTTGCAACGGCCAACATCCGTGTGGTGGAAACCATATCTGATTGGGATTCCAGCGCAACCTCATCAACTAACCAGCTGGAAATCTTGCGCTGGAGAGCAAGTGGGCTGCTGTCCCTGTACGGCAGCTCCTGCCCGTGTGAAAATAGAGCATGAACAATAATATATACCAGTCTGGACTGCAGCTGAGATAGAGGGAGAAAGAGCATGGGGGGACTTTTCATACCCTCTTCACACGATCTGGGCACATTATTCTTATTACATGGATGGAGAGGCTGAGGTTTTGTAAATTCCAGGTCACTCATAATAAATGCTTGCCCGATGAGATGCATTTTTTTATAAGGTGTAATGGTTCCATGACTTATTTGAACCTAATAAAAAAAAGAAAAGTACCTTTGTATTTTTCTCCATGGTTTCCACCATGCTTCCTCTTGCCTTTGCGATGGGCTAGGATGGTCCTTGCCTTTGAATGTCCCTTGCATAATGATTCGCACACAGGTTGGAAACTAGTAGGTAGCAGAGAATAAAACTAACCAACCAAAGAAACAAAAAACAAACAAAACCATAAAAAAAACCCAAAACAAAACAAACAACAACAAAAAAAACCCTTGAGAATCAGAGCCTCAATATTCAGCGGCTTGATCGACAGAGCAGATATGTGTTAAAGACCTTTCATGTGATGGGCGCTTACATCCATGACTGAGCTTAAGCCACACACCATGTCTGTGTTTATGAGTGAGGCACTGTGCCCATTTTAAAGATGAGAAAATTGAAGTTCATCAGTCAGGTTACTGATGAAGGGAGCATGGCTATGGGTGATTTTTTTATTCCAATTCAAGTTTGGCTCAGGACCAGCCTCCTTTTTGTGGTCTCGTCAGTTCTAGCAGATGAACGGAGGCAACAAAAATCACGATCAGGGCCGGGCGGTGGTGGTGCACACCTTTAGTCCCAGCACTCGGGAGGCAGAGGCAGGCAGATCTCTGTGAGTTCGAGGCCAGTCTGGACTACAGAGTGAGTTCCAGGAAAGGTGCAAAGCTACACAGAGAAACTGTGTCTCCAAAAAACAACAACAACCAAAAGCAAAAAACAAAGAAAAAAAAAATAATTCAAAATGACATCTTAATTTTAAAAAAGTCAGTCATAAAACATAACAGCAGAATGATAGAATAAACATCAGAAGATAGCCGGGCGGTGGTGGCGCACGCCTTTAATCCCAGCACTCGGGAGGCAGAGCCAGGCGGATCTCTGTGAGTTCAAGGCCAGCCTGGTCTCCAAAGCGAGTTCCAGGAAAGGCGCAAAGCTACACAGAGAAACCCTGTCTCGAAAAACCAAAAAAAAAAAAAAAAAAAAACATCAGAAGATAACATTCTCTCACCCAGTCCTTGCCTTTGAACCCTTTGCTTAAAATGACTACTACTGACAAAAATATATTTAAAATAATCAACCTCTGAATAGAATATTTCTTTTAAATATAGCAGACAATTAACATCACATCTTTAAAAGTAATTCTGACCAATTTTCCTCCTCTGTGCTCATTAAAATTCTACCCCTCAAGTGCTAAAATTCCACAGGCCTCTGGCTCTCCTTGCGACTTACCACACCCTCCTGAGTCTCACACTGTTTTAATGACATCATCACTCCATACGGTTCTTGGTGATTAACTGTAACTGTTCTAGATACATATTCCATTTCTCCAAATGGGTATTACATCCTTGGAGATATAGGTCCTCTTTATTGATTTTTCTGTGTAACTGAACCCAAGATCTTGATAGTGTTACAATATTGGAGAAAAAAATTTAAAGATTTATTTTTATTTATGTTTATGTGTGTGTTTGTGTGACTGTAAACCAAGAGTGTTTGGGTGCCCACAGACACCAGATGAGAGTGTAGGATTCCCAGGAGCTGGAATTACAGGGGGTCGTGAGCTGTCTGATATGAGTGCTGGGAAGTGGTCTCAGGTCCTCTGGAACCACTGGACTCTGGCCCTCCTAACCACTGAGCCACCTCTCCAGCCCCTGAAGAATTTTTTAAAACGAGGAAAACGCTGCAGAGTGTAAAATGTTGCTGGCATCCTCTTTCTCACATTGTATTTTAAATGACAATTATAAAAATGTCAACGAAGAACTGGCTCCAGGTGGGCACAGATCATTAGGGTGTTGGGCTTCTTTGGTTTAGTCTGGTTTGGGTTTGTACAATACAGTAATGATGAGGTCTCACAGACAATGGGGAGTGTCATCAATGAAAATGTTATCGGTTCTTTTGAAATTAGGGCAGCTGCCCAGAAGACTTTCCTCAGTCCACTGCCTGATATCAGTTAACTGCCTGATATTGCGTTGAGCCTTGTGGGTCCTGGAAGATGCGGTCTTGGCTTCAGAAGTCTATACAGACTAGTAGCAAGACAAGGTCGCTCTCAGCATGATGTGTCTGTAAGTTTCTATAAGAATCACACGCTTTGATAGAACAGAGTCAGATCTGTTAGCCTCCTCAATGGTCTGTGCCCGTGCTTCCCACTGGGTGAGCGTTTTCAGATTTGAGTTTGGACATTTCGTGATGGACAAAGGCCACATTGGCATTTCATAGGCAGGTGGCGGAATTACTTGAGACTCTGCAGGTGTGGAGTTTCCCTGAACAATGAAGAACTGTCCCAGATCCCACCTGACTGTCAACTGATAAAAACTCAAGTCTAAAGATGTTAAGTCTGGAATCCATTTGACAGAGAAAAAAAAAACTGTTTTTGCACAAGACTAATATTCTCTATGTTTCCTCAGAAAGGCTGGGGCTTGTTTTATTTGGGGTGTTAACAGGAATCAGGCGATGGTTTGGAAAGTTATAATACTGAAGGCAATGCCATATCTGCCTGACTTGGTCTGTACCTGCGTCACTGTGCAGTTAGGGAAGCTTTGCAAAAGAGGACATGTCAGCTCATCAGATTGTCTTTCCAGGTACATGCTGGTGTTCTGAGTATTCACTGGGAGAGCTATCCTTATCTGTGGGGCTAGAAAGACGGCTCAGTAGTTAAGAGCACAAGGCTGCTCCTGCAGATCCGGGTCCGGTTCCCAGCACCCACCTGGCCGCTTATTACCATCTGTAATTCCAGTTACAGGGGATCTAACGCCCTCTTGTGGCTTCTGCTGGTACTAATGTATGTGGTGCACAGACACACACTGAGGAACACACACATGTACATTAAGCATTTTTAAAAGGACCTAAGAATATTAAAGAGGAAACTTCATCTTAGGTGAGTACTCTATACACCGATTACTTTGTGGTGTAATTTCAGACTTTAAGGTATACACAGGGAGGTTTCAGTAGGAGCTGAGTCACACAGACATTCATGGAATTATAAGAAGGTCAAGTAAGAGCATGATGGCTGGGTGTACAGTTAGACAAATTATTTGAACAAAAGGTACAACTAAAAACTATTTTATTGAGAAGAAAAGAGCGATGCTAGGTCACAAACATATCAGCAGCTACAATAATTTTAACCCTGCTTTGATGGTCTTATTACGCCTGACTGTTTCTGAAGTAGGGAACATGCTGCTTTTGGAGGCAAATGTAATTTTAATTTTTTCCTTTAACAGAAAACAAAGGATGGCACTGAGTTTAAGAAAGACAACTCCTTCGCCCCAGTGGTCATTTTAAAGGCTTGTTACGTGTGGGTTGGCCGCTCTGAGGATGGACAGCACCCTGGCCCGTTGTCCGTTTCTGAAGTGACACTTGGTTGTCCCTGTGGCTACCAGGTGGAGCCACTCAGCAGGTTCTTCTGTGTAACTAGGTCACTCTGTCACAGAGCCAGCCGCTATGACTCTCACGGATATCCAGGTGACCAGCTTTGATTCACTGTGGTTTCAACTCAACTGTGTAACCCACATTTTCAGAGGAAAGAGGGGGTCTACAAGGGGAGCTTTGGCATACAGAAATAAAGCAGAATTAAGGCCAAGAAACTTATTCCCCCCTGGCCCCTGCTCTGAATATAATTTTTTTATATGATTAAGAATGTATCTCATCAGGCAGTGGTGATGCACACCTTTAATCCCAGCACTCAGGAAGCATAGATAGGTAGATCTCTGAGTTCAAGGCCAGCCTGATCTACATAGTTCCAGAAGAGCTAGGGCTACAAAGAGAAACCCTGTCTTGAACACACACACACACACACACACACACACACACACACACACACACACACACTAAATGTATCTCAAGAGCCTGGAGAGATGCATTTAAGGTCACTGGCTGCTCTTGCAGAGGATCCAGGTTCAATTCCCAGCACCTACATGGCAGTTCACAACCATCTAGTTCCAGGGGAGCTGACACCCTCTTCTGCCCTCTGAGGGCATCAGACGCCTATATGGCACGCAGACATACATGCAGGCAAAACACCCATAAATTACAAAATTTAAGAGAACGTATGTCAGAATGCTCCCATACACCTGGCTAAGGAGGGACGCTGCACGCACCTGGGAGAAAAGCTTGCCAATTCTACGCCACCTTTGAGAGGAGCCAGCAAGAGCCTGAGGATTGGCATTGTGGTGTACCGCCCCTCCTCCCTCCACAGGAAACAGAACTCAGAGAACTTCTGTCAGATAGCAAAACACAACATTTCTTAAGACAAAGGGAATCAGTTCTTTATCAGAATATACCTCGGGAGCTTGAAGGATAAAACAGGATTCAGGCTTTGTCAATACAGTAAGGAGCAATTATAAACTGTAATTTTATCAACAACAGTATCTGCTAGCAGATAGTTTGAGGTGGTTATGACTAAATATGATCCCTTTCCATGTTAATAATATCCCTTAAAAGCTGTAAACTGGGGAGAAAATAGACCCACTTACCAGTTGTGAAAGCAAAGCTCTGAAAAGCCCATACCACCTTTGAAATAGGCCGTTGAAAAAAGACACAAAGGTAACCTCAATGATGCTAGCAAAGGGCCAGCGATTTCCGTGAAAAAACACCACGCACCACTATGCTTTCTTTGCAAGCCCTGGCTAGCGCTCTCATCAAAAATCACATTGCCACTATAAAAATACTGAGTCTGATGCGGTCTCGATGAGCCAGACACACAGCTGTCTGGGGGTCATCTGATTATAAACTATGTTAAAGATGGGGACGTGTACACCCTTTCACCACTTCAGTATTTTACTCTCTGGACAGTGGAAACTCACCAGCAAAGAAACAGGTGTGTTTACCCAGGAAACAGGTCTCTGCCAGAAATCAGGCAACCAGGGCAGGGCTGAGCACCACCCACCCTCCCACAGGCTCCACCCCCTCGCCCCCCCCAAACCCTCCCCGCCCTCCCAAGTCCCCCCCAAACCCCCCCCGCCCCCAGCCCCCCAGCTTCGCAGACACTCTGCAAGGTCAGGGAGTGAAGGGGCAGAGAAGAGGGCAGAGACCGGTCCTTGGGGATGAGAGCGAAGGAAGAGAGAGAGAGAGACAGGAGCCAGGTAGGGCCTGCCTTTCATAAGGGAACTTAGTGAATGCACACAGGGGGTGCTCAGCTGAGGAGGTGCCCTGTCAGGACCCCACAGGCAGGCCAGTACAGATGCCTAAATGCTAACACAGCCCACGGCTGATTCTTATCATCCATCTTCCATTTGATTTCTTTCCTGCAGTAGCTGCTTGGGCGGATTTCAAACACACAGCCAGCAAGCTGCAATGTTGCTGTTTCCTCATGTTTGAACTCCCTTTCTGCGAAAGGAAGAAAAGTCGGTCGGAGGGTGGGGCTGGGTGTGTCACAGCAGAGACGGGCACGGGGTTTGAGCCCCCGCTACCACAAACAACAAAACAAAGACCCCGATAAGCTGCGGGCCCAGCTCCCAGGAGTAATTCTAGTGTCTGTGGTTCGTTTTCGTTTTCCTTAGTTTGGCTATCCTGGGGATATTCTCCACAAACACTCCACCCTCCACGGACGAACTGAGCGGGAATAACTTTTAAGTTCAATATTGTCATAAACCAAAGACAGAAAAAAAAAGCCATTTTGCTTAAAATGTACTTTTTACATTTTTTGGTTTCTTAAAATATTGAAACATCCCACATGAAATTGTTAAGACATTAATAAATTATTAATAAATTAATAAACTGAATTGTAGGGGCTGGGGAGGTGACTCAGGTAAAGCTCTGGCCACTTAACCCGAGCACCCAAGTTCAAACCCTGGGACTCACGTGGTGGAAGGACTAAAGGACTCCCACAAGCTGTCCTCTGACTGCCACCCACAGCCTGTGACTGTACCCCCATCGATAAATAAATGTAATAAAGTCAACCCGTAAAGCTTCTCTATACCTCAGTGGTGCTGGTCGGGACTGCTATACACAGTTACTTCCACAGCCTTTTGGTATTAAGGTTTATTTCTTTTTTTTTTTTTTTTTTTTTTTTTTTGGTTTTTCGAGACAGGGTTTCTCTGTGTAGCTTTGCGCCTTTCCTGGGACTCACTTGGTAGTCCAGGCTGGCCTCGAACTCACAGAGATCCGCCTGGCTCTGCCTCCCGAGTGCTGGGATTAAAGGCGTGAGCCACCACCGCCCGGCAAGGTTTATTTCTAATGAACCATATAAAGATGCACATTTCTCTTCCAACTTAGCTCATCTCTCTGCCACAGAAAGTAAGCACACATTTAGAGATCCGTCTCTAAGTCCGCATCCTTCACCCTTCAGGAGAGGGTTCTCCACAAGGGTTGTCTTTTGCAAGTCATTTGTCCTCTCTTAACCCACCCCTCAGTCTCCTGAAGTCCTCTGCCCCCTGGCACCAGGTTCCCAGTTGTATCCATAGTCTATTTGTTTGACACAGTGAAAACCGGTAATAAACACAGGCCAGGCTCTGAGAGCCAAGTTTCACTGCGGACTTTGCAAGGAACCACCCCTGGACCCTGAAAACCACCAGGATGTCAATGTCAGCAGCATTTGGGATTTGGCCTTGGTTCATATGACCCACCCCCGACTGAAGAGCGCCAAAGTCCACTGCTAAGCCTGGAAGGGCAGGAATGCACTTGGCTGCCTCAGCAGAAAATCCAAGCCCTGGGATGCAGGGGTGGGTGGTGTGTACGGGAGAGCTGTACAAGGAAGAAGGTACACCAGCCCGTTTGCCCAGCTCCAGTGCAGTGAGGCCCGCAAGTCCCTTCCCCAGGAGACTGCAGTCTCTACCTGTGGAGGAAGGCTTCTTTCCTCAAGATCATTTCAGGCTTCTGAGTCTCTCAAGGAATGGGGGTTGGTGGGGGTGGGGGGTGGAGGGGTGGGGTGAACATTCTGGAATGTACAAATCAGGAGCTGCTCACCTCTCCATCAAGTCGTCCTCAAGGCAGAGGGAGTACATCCTATCCACAGCTGTATATAGTGACACCTAGTGGTGGCAGTTGGTACAGACGGAGAGGGATGCTTGAAGCCACAGACCCACCGAAAACCACCCAGCCTGTCTGGAGGTGAATTCCAGACAGTCCTCCAGACAGTCCAGGCTCACTCTCAGTCTGTCCACCTTCTCTATGAGGGACATCATCCTTAAAGGGCTGAATGTCCACTGTGAGGTTTTCCGCTTCCTCTTAGATATGATAACCATACAGAATATGACTGCACGATAAAATTAGATTTTCAGAAAAAAAATTGCTTGATTCTTTCACTTTTCGTTTCAAGGAATGATGAAGTAAGCAAAAATCACAGACATGTCCTTCAGAGACGCCCCACCGGGCGCCCTCCAACCCCTGGGTGGTACCACCCCAAGATGACATTAGTCGTCAGAAGTGAATTCAACCTGGGATTGTCCAGGCGGGCAGAATCACACACCAGCCTCCAAACACAAACAGCAACACCCTCCGCCTGGGAGAGACAGGCGAAGTCCCAGTGACATGCCTCTGTGATCTCGCGGTGACGGTTCCGGGAGACAAGGATGGAAATGCCTGTTAGGGACCAAACAGCACTTTCCCAAAATAGTTTGTATTGAAGGTGCAACCGCGGGAGTGGTGACGTCTTGAGATGGGACCTACGGAAGGTCCCTAGGATTAGGTGAAGTCATGGCGGGGGTGGGGGGAGGGCGGGGTGGTGGTGGTGGTGGTCTCAAAGAGTTAGTGCCCCATAAGGAAGAGCCAGCTGCGATCTTCTCCACGTTTCTCCCTGTGTCATGTGATTAGACAGTGACAAAGTTGCCATCCCTTGAGAATACCTAACTATACCGGCACACTTCACAATGGCCAGGAAGTAAATGTTCATTGTTTAAGCCACCTGGCCTGCGGCACTTTGTTACCACAGCCAAATGATGGCCAATAATAGGAATCACCACTTGGAAGTACTGCTGGTACTCAGCATGGGCCAGGAAAGAGGTTCTTCCCAGAGCCTCTGGGTAAGGACTCAGGTTGGTCAAGACCTTGGTTCTGACTTTGAGCAAAGGGTCAAACTTCCCATGTCATGGAGAGATAATAAGTACATGATGTTGCCAAACAGTCGAAAAGCAGTACAGGCAATTACCAAATTGGGGGAGGGGGTGGATTAAAACATGGACGCACACACACACACACACACACACACACACACACACACACACACACACACCATCTTTTCCTGCGGCTAAACTCACTTCTCTGTCTCAGTTTCTCTCTCCTAATTATTCCCAGGCCCACCCACTCACCACCTCACACCCTCCCCCAGCCGTTCATGTAGGTTTCATCCACTCTCAGCAGTGGAGTCCTGCCCTTCCCTCCAAACACAGGCAATTTCGCCAGATTATTTCTTCACACCAGAGAGTACAGAATTCTGCACCCCAGAAAAATGTTCCTAGCAAGGACATGCTTGCTAGTCCAGGGTGTTAAGGTGGTTTTTTTTGTGTTTTGTTTTGTTTTAAGACAATTGGTTTTTCTTCCTCATAACTAGCTATTTTACATTTGAGGAAATTTTACTCTAACGGTTTTGGGTAAGATGCTCTTTTCTCTGTGAAGTGGCATTTATGGCGGGAGCAGATGGCAGCACAAATGTCACAAGCCGTCTCCACTTGCATATCCGTTGCAATGTGACTTACACTCTCCTAATACCAGGATGAGGAATCTACTTATCTGCTGGAGTCTGAGCTTGCCTGAGTGACTTATATGACCAAAAGGACACAGGCAAAGGCCAGGTAAGGACATAAAGGCTTTCTCTCTTGCTTCTGGGAACCTTGGCTACTACATGGACAAGCCAGCTCAGAGTCTTGAGAGTAGAGACCTGTGGAGACAGGCTTGCTGCCTTCAATGCACATTGGGGGCCTAGGAATGTGAGGAACAGCTTACTGCCTAAGCCAGGTCACACACACCCTCACACACGCGCGCGCGCGCGCACACACACACACACACACACACACACACACACACACACACACACAAGTAGTCTGAGATTGTACTACTGAGGAGAAACGGAAGGATTATCAATGAAAACTTGGACTCGCAAGTCCGTCTGCATTTTAACTTTGAGCTCAGTTTCACACCACTTAGACCAAAATACATCAGGCCCTAAATTTGATTCTGAGTGACTCTTGACTGAGAAGGTCTTCAGGTGGTGCTCCTGGTAGAGGGACAGGCAAAACTTCTCCAAGGGAACACAGCTTTGTCCTTTGTGTAAAGAATTCCCATGAAAAAAATTCCAAGGAAAATAAATAGTTGATGAAAAAAATAAAACCCATCCCTAAGTAGTTATCAAGTTAAATATTCAAGGAAATAAGGACTTATAAAGAGTAACTTTTAGAGGTGCTGGAGCATTGAAGAGAACTCCCTGCTCTTACAGAGGACTGTGTTCTGTTCCCAGCATTCATATGGCACTTCACAACCATATGTAACTCCAGTTCCAGGGGATCTGATGCCCTCTTCTGGCCCCTACAGGTACTGCACACAGGAGGTGCGTATACATACAGGTAGGCAATTTTTTTTTTTGAGTCAGGGTTTCTGTGTGTAGCCCTAGCTGTCCTAGCACTCACTCTGTAGACAAGACTGGCCTTGAACTCACAGAGATCTGCCTGTCTCTGCCTCCCGAGTGCTGGGATAAAAGGTGTTATCCCTTGTTATCACTACTGCTTGGTGAAAGTAATTTTTAAAAGTATAATATGTAAAAGCAATAGAGAGCAGAAATAGACTCACCCTCTCCCCCAAGGGTATTCAATGGTAGAATTATAAGATACAAACTACAAAATAACCATAAATAAAAGACATAGGACCTGAACCAAAAAGATTAGAAATATACAAATACATCAGAAAAAAAGAGACGAATTTCAGTCTTTGAAATTAAAAATAAACAGATGGACCAAAAGACAAATTTAAGAGAGCTCAAAGAAATAATTGATGAACTGAGAGATATTATCTGAGGAAATGACCCAGAATCTAGCCCAGAGAGAAGAGAAGAGGGAGATGGGCCTGCAATTATGAGCTAAGGCAGCTGAGCGGAAAATTCTGACACATCATTTAATTACAGTTCTGGGAGAGCAGGGATGGCATTTGACTTACTGCTTGTGAATTCTGCCAACTGTGCCTATCAATTAAACTGAATTATAAGCAGAGAAAATCCATGCTGAGAAAGGAATGGAAAGAGAGACAGACAGATTCTCAGCGTGCAAGCGGATAAAGGCTTGCTGTTAAGAGAAGAACCAAAGAGACACAGTGTGTTTGAAGGGGATTAGGGGATTTTTTTATTATCTTTTTCTTTTTGGATAAAGAATATTAATGACAGAAACTGATAAGAGAAAAGACCAGAGTTGGGCGAAGCAGATGGTCTGCAGCCTACTGACTACAACCACAGAAATGATAAAGATTTGAGATTTGTTTCGGGAACACGAGGGAGCAGGAAGCTGTCTCAGGTGTGGTCCCATGAGATCCAGATCTCTTAGAGGAGCTGTCACATGAACACACTGCCAGGACTGGTGTTTTTGTCCAGCTTGCGAACCCCGTCTCACCCTGATGTAGAACTTACAGGCCTGGAGATGGTCCACTCAGTCCTGTGGGAGCCGGTAGGGAGAAAGCCATCCGTCCCTGGGTAGGGAAGGCATCCGACTGCCCCGGCACCTGGGCCCATACACACTGCTGGAGCAGAGCTTGTATTTCCTCAAACGGAAGAAAGCTGTGGCCTGAGCGCCTCCCCACCACCACCCCTCCCCACCACCACCCCACCACCCCCGCCACGTGGTGGCGTTCCTGAGCAGAAGCAAGAATAGACTCCAGGTCTCTCTGTTCCCCACGGAATACTGCAACTCTTCAAAAGCGAGTCCCAGTTACAACTGGTGCTCAACAGGAGGATGGAAACCTGCTTTTCACACAAGTTCGCAGTGCTGATTCACTTCCTTA